GCTTTGCCTCAGCCATGTCTTGCCTTATGAACAGTACAAGTCGTTCTAACCATGCAATGCTTTTTTTCTCTCCTCTGCACAATGGTAGTTTATAATTCCTGTTTCTCAGGGGAAAATGTGCTTGTAATATGCTCCACTGTCTCAATTTAAAAGGCACTAATATTTGAAAAAGATCATCCTTACATTAATTTTATAATCACCATTCTCAAGAAAATTGATAGCAATTACAAATGTAGAGTAAGTAGTGAAAGCAAGCGTTTGAAAACCAAGGTCCAGTGTATCAACATCAAAAAATTCCACTGCATGTAGGAAAGGCTAAAGGTATGAGACTGAGACTTATAAAACAGTACAAGATGGTATGCAACCAAATGGCGCTCTCTTACTGATTCTGTCCTGCAGAATGAGAACAGAAGATTCCCAGTAAAACTGGTTCAACACATATTTTGAACAATAAGAAAAATCTTTATAGTATGTTAGGATTTACTGGCACAAAGACCTTTGCAGAGAGAATTATGCACGGTTTGTATTTTTAAAAAATGACTGAAATTTGTAATGATACAGGAGAAACTGAAATTTGTAATGATACAGGAGAAAATGATACAAAGAAAAGGCAATTATCAATTTTCAGGGAATATGTTAATTACCATCAGAGGTTATTTAGAAGGATTTCTTTTTCTGCACAGTTAGATGCATGGAGCCACATTCCTTTGAAGCACCATTTTCTGTTCCCTGATGGAGTTAAGGTCCTCGACTTAAATGTCTGACTTGTAACATATGGGGATGGTGGGAATAGAGGATCGAGGTGCATGAATGTGCATGAAGAATGTGTGTGTACTGAATATTCTTTTAATATTTTCAACAAATTGCCTCTTGAACAGATTATCCAGTTGAACATGTGATGTTGGCTACCTTAAGTAGTGTGGAGAAACTCAAAGGTTGCATCTACATAAAGCTTACTGCATTTAGCATATTTGCATTACATAGCTGCAGAGAACAATAATTTGGAAATTACTGTTGGAAATATTAGATGAAAAAGCACTTGTCTTTTTAACTGAGATATCGCTACTGCTGTTTCTTTGTTATCAGTGCTATGTTCTGTTTCCTCTATGACTGAAACAGTTGTTACAGTGTGCCTCCTGTTCTTTTCTTGAGAAGCAGTCTGGCGTGGGAGTAGGCTCACTTAGGAAACCCCCCACATAGGTTCTGTGACTCTATGTAGACCACCACTGTTAAGTGTCCAAGCCTAAAATGAGATAAAATGCTCTTTAATATAGCATCAAGGAAGGGAGCGTGCAGAACAATATTCTTTTGATCTTGTGAAAGCAAAAATTTCTCTCATCTGCGTTCTATTTGCGTAAGTAAAGGTTAATCTTTGTGAGAAGTAGAGGAGGGACAATGTGTTGTTATGCAAGCAGCAGTTTCTGAATTTTTTCAGGGTGATTCCAGTTAACTTTGTTAAGATTTAAGCCTGTTAGGTTTTTCCATTGCAAAACTGAAGCTCATTTATACCCGCATCTCAAATTTTTCCCTGAAGCACTTTGTACTAGAGAGTGTCTTATGCTGCTAATATGTAGAAGAAAGTCTACAGGGACTGACTAACAGGGACAAACTAATGCTAGTTATAACCTTTGGAAAGAAAATCTTAATAGAGCTGGATCCGAGCCAACTACATTTTGCATAAACTTGGCAGGAGTTCCAGTTCACCAGTCTGTAGCTGGAAATCCAACCGTCTCTGTGTTGAACCATAAGTGCAATTAAAAGGTTTTTCCCTTTTTACTGGTGGTAAAGTCCATCAATTCAAATGCTGGCAATTCTTTGTTGATAAGTCTGATATCACTAGTGCAACTATGTTCCCGAGACTGTTTTTGACTCTTAGCTTGTTTTTAAGATTTATTTCTTCTGTTGTCCCACCAGGATGTTCTTGCTGTCAAGTTTTTCATTTCAGACTTTATAGACTCTGTTACTGAAATATTCTTTGCAAATTTTTTGAACTTTTTTCCACTGTTTTTTTTCCTGCTAACCTTCCCTTAACATAGCAAAACATTAAGCATGAGGAAAAGGTATTTTCATTTGGACTTCCTAAAGGGTTGCTTAAGTTACGCATGGTTGGTATTCCTTTGCTACAGAATTCTCTACGTGAAAATGTGTATGCAGGTGGTAGTTACATTCCCAACTTCTATTCCTTCAGTGCCAGTTGTAGGTGTCAGTGTTCTTATTTCGGCATAAGAGTAGATATAGTTTTAAATACCCTGGATTCACAGGCACAATTGAATCCATGATAAACCAGATATAAATTGAAGATATGTTAAAACCAGCGCAAGTTGGCGTGTAGTCCAAGGCAAAGAGCTTCTGTGTACAAGTTTGCTATGACATTTTTCTATAAACCCCTAGGTCAGGGCAGTTAAACTGAACAAAAGTTAAGTTAGATGTAGTTGAAATAAAATAGTTTTTTATTTCAGAATCATCCTTCACAAAGCGACTTGAAATAAAACCGGAAAAAATGAGATTAACTCTGATTATTTTGGTGCCATGTTGTAAGTAGGCCAAACCTACATTTTGATATTTTTAAAGCAAAAACAGACAGCAAGAAGAAAAATATGAACTGTGTTATAAAGAAGAAGATTAATCTTGCTAATTTTACACTGCAAGTCATCTATGAACTAAGGTAGTTATATCAATCATAGACTATTGTAGCTATGTAATAAAATAAAAATTATTTCCTATATAGGATTATTGAGAAAATCTTTATATTGTTTTCAGCCCACTTTATGCTACGTACATAGTTAATTGTAATTTGTGGGAATACTTTGAATCCAGTTGTTTCTATTAAAACAGTATGGCTTTGAAAAGTTCTTTTTATTTTTGTCAGTATGTGCTCTTGTGATTACACTGAAAGATTGTATATATCCCTGCTTGAGTGGGAATGATTTGAGTGGCAAAAAATAGTACAACTTCCGGCATGGGAGTTGGCGTCTAGAAATTTAAGTTGCAGAATCACTGTTGTGGAGAAATCCTAATGTCCACCAGTGAAGCATCTGGCCCTGGATGTTGTAAAACTCGACTTCTGGTAAGCCAGAGGAAATATCTGCCCGAAAGTTTTGTTTAAAAGCTTTAAAAGCTCTGTTTAAAACAGCTTAATAAACCAGCTTAACAAACTTAATTCCCCTTTGGGATTTGCATCCAGCCATTTGCAGGACTGGGCGAATGCATAAGAGAACCTGAAAATAAAAGTGACTATAAACAAGTAAAATTGGTGAGCCAATTTTTACTGCTCAGATGAGCCATTCAACAAAGAAACATTAATAATGAAAAAATAAACCGAACTTCCAATTTTCCATTTTTAATAATAGCATAATTTAATGATCTAATACCTAAATCTTTAATATAGACAAGAAGATATATTATTGCATAATACAGTTACTCTGAAAGCCTTCCTTTAATATCAAAGAGGTGGCTTTTGTTTATGCCTTTCAGTTCTGTGTTCCAATAAAAGTTCTGAAACGTATCTCCAAAGACACAGCCCTCTCCATTCCTCAGGATCCAGTTTCATGGGACACTTAATTTGATGTAACTGCAGGCTATCTGCTGAAAGGGGCGGTCCCACTCCGTCTGTCCTCACCACTTCTGGCTCTGTATTCCCATCATCTGCCCTGAGTCGGGTCTATGAATGCATGGCTGCAAACTAACCCCTGGAGAAAAAAAAAATTATTTGGTTGGATCAGTGAGCTCATGAGTAGTTAAAATCTGATGCAACAGAAGTAGTGGGAACGTGCAGCTTGAGACAGGAATGAGTGGGACCGCTCTTTCCACTGCTGCTTGCAGGTAGATCAAACTAAATGCATTGTAAAATTGTACCCCAGGAGGGGAGGCAAATTCTTTCTAGCCCCTGAACCAGAGGAGCTTGCTGAAGATGATCACACATAGGAAGGAAAGGAAGGTGAAGAACAAGGGAAAG